AGGTCCAATATGTGGCAATTCCACCCATCCCCAAGTGTGGGGGTGGCTGTGACAGACATACCCGTGCACACTGGGATTGGCCACGTGAGCTTTCACACAACTCCACCACTGCTGGACATCATGGGTGCTTTGTCTGTGACAAAAAGGAAGCCAGAATTAGGCCCTGAATTGTTCTGTGGAAAGTCTCCCTCAAAGAGTGCTGTTGGAATTTGACACCGGCTAGAAGCTAGGCACCCAGAAAAAACCCATTTACTCGTTCTGCTCTGCTATATTGGAGCAGAGGAGAGGCAAAGACAAAAGGGGCTCATGAGTTGAGGTAGGGATTGGGAAGGAACACTTTAAGGGCAGAACAGGCTCAAAACTTAAAAGGTATAAAGAAAAATTTATTAACAGAATTAAAAGAGGATAATGCTGACTACTTTTTGAATACCTTCCCCTGCACCCCCCGCCCTTCTTTCATTCCCACCAACAATGCAGAGAGACAAAACATGAGGGTTGTAGTCAGTTTGTCACTTCTAAAAATCTTTCATCAGTTTGCTTAAGGAGAGGGGTATGTTCTGCTATGGGGGGTCTTTTTCATGGAACAGTTCTCTGTGAACTTCTCCAACATGGTTCTAATTTTCACGAGTAGCAGTCATGCCCCACCTGCTACAACATGAGTCCCTCCCAGGGGCAAAGCAATCTTCCTACAACTGTTTGCCTGGGTCGTTTTACTTCATGCCATGTAGTCTTTTAAGGATGAGCTGTTCTAGTTTGGAAGCAAGGGTCTTCTTTTTCTATCTCTGGAAGCAAGGGTCTTTTCTCTGTGTTCAAATTCCTCACTAGATCACAGCTTTTCTGCATCCACACGCTCCAGTGTGAGCACTCTTTGTCATGGGCTGCAGGTGAACTCTGAATTCCCCCATGCACTTCATAAATTACAGGGAAACTGTTGTTTTTTAGACCTCATCACAGCATGCAGAAGCATCTCAGCTCCAAGGCCTGGAGCACCTCCTTCACCCCCTCCCTCCTTTTCACCAACCTTAGTGTCATCATGTTGTTCTCCTCATGTCTTCACTTCTCCCTTTTCTCTGACTCGCGAGAGAATTGCTGTCTGTGTATTCATTTCTTCTCACGTTCTGTTAATTGAAAAGTTTCTGTAGAGTCCTGCAGCACTAAAAGGTTGATCTCATCTGGCCCCGCATTGGGGAATTGCTTGCCATGCTCCTCGCTGCTGGTCAAATGGTGGCTGCTGGCACCATGCAAGCCGCACCGGCCACCGGCGTCGCTCAGTGCCTCTCCTCATGCCAGTGAAGCAGAGTGGAAATTTTCCAGGGTAGAAATCCATTTTGATTTAGGTGAGATGTGCATCTTTGAGTTAAGTCTGTAGCTTGCTGTTTAGTCTGACTGCCTGTTCTCGCAAAAACCCTCTGCTTGGAGAAACTGCTTCAGCCGAAGGACAGAGATAAGGGGGGAGGGGGAGGTCAGGCAGAGTAGGGCAACCTGACCCAGGAGTTCTTTCTGATAAAGAAGAATTAGTGGCAAATGTCACACGAATCAGTAGAATGAATATGTATGAACCTCTTGTGAAATTGCATGCATATGTATTTGAGAGGGAGATAAAAAAGGATCTGGATTTCTGAGAGGTATGCATGTCATTTAAGGGGAACGATTCCCGCATAAGTCCATCACTGTAGTAAATATACCTGGCTTTACAACTTCCACAAAAGTTGTGGAGTTTGTTTGCTTCCGCAAATCACTGGGTGCCAAAAAGGAAAAGCTGCTGCCGCCACTCCTGTCTCTTCTGCCCACGGAGCATTGGCTGGCTGAAAGTGACCAAGGAAGCACAGCTCACTGCGGATGGTGCTGGCATAGGCCTGGCTGCATGAGCACTCCTGACCTGAGCTCATGGTATCAGACATGTGGCCACTCACAGCACCAGGATGACCCCACACTGTGGCATGGCCCTGGCCAGGCTGGGAAGGAGCCCAGTGGCCCCCTCACCACCCCACGTAGGAGAGGAGGAAAGAGAACTTGCACACATTTTCTAGTTCTTAGTTATGTCCTCTCACAACCACCACTAACTTCTCAAATTGGGCCAGCCAATGCATCAATTGTCAGAGCTTTCAGGGATTGGCTCTGCAGGACTGAGTAGAAGTTTTGATGAGCTTCTCTCTCAGAAACAGTCTCTGTGGCTTCTCTGCCCCCACTAAATGCCAGATTGTGTTAAACTAAGGCAAGTGTTCATAAATCTCTTCTCAGAAACCTGGTATCATCCATCCACCTCTCCTGTTTTCTCAGGCAAGAAACCATCGTAAAGAGCCGTTCCACAGCTGCCATAGGGTCTGGGTCTCCTAGAGATGAGCTTTCCATGTGAGAGGGGACAGGCCTTGGTTGTGGGAAAGGAGCAGCCTCTGCTAGTCCCAAGGGTGATGTGCGTGTGACACATCTCCTACACGTGGCACATCTCCTGAACATGCAGAAGGTCCAGCCAGAGGGAAAGGACCAAAGTGCAGTCCGAGAGCCACATCTGCCTCCTTCCTGGGGCGCTCTTTACTGTTCGTCTGATAGAGATAGTTGGGAGTTATCTGGTCATTCTATGGACTTGGCAGGAGTTCCATGCTTGTTCTGCAGCATTTTATCATATCAGGGATTACACATTCACTGCCCAGCACATAAAATAAGGATCCAAAGTTGGGCTGTGCCACAGATTCCTTGAAAGCGCAGAGCACGCACTGGTGTTGCTGCAGGTTCCCTTCCTTGGAAGCCCTCACCTGATCCCTGCAGGAATGGCCCTGGGGCTCAGTGCTTCTCCACCAGCTGTGCTTCTGCTCCTGTCCCTGCTGGGTCTGGCTGCTGCTGGGAAGCTGTTGGTGGTGCCGATGGACGGGAGCCACTGGCTCAGCATGCGGGAGGTGCTGGACATGCTCCAGCAGAAGGGACACGAGGTGGTCGTGGTGGCACCTGAAGTCTCCATGCACATCAAACCATCCAAGAACTTTGTGATGAAAATGTTCTCAGTCCCCTTCACAAAGGAAGAGATGGAGAAAGATTTTAAGGCATTTTTTCATGGTTCATTTGAAGAAGGAACTTTCTTTGAAAGATTTTTTCATGTACTTGAAGGTATAAAAAGAATCACTAACTTTGGGGTCACCAGCTGTGAAAAGCTCTTGCAAAACAAGGAGCTCATCAGGTACCTTGAGGAGAGCAAGTTTGATGCCATCCTTACAGACCCTTTTGTGCCCTGTGGGGTAATCCTAGCTGAGCATCTTTCCCTTCCTGCTGTGTATTTCTTACGTGGAATCCCATGTGGCTTAGATTTTGAAGCCACTCAGTGTCCCAAGCCCCCTTCCTACGTCCCCAGGGGATTTACAGGCCTTACAGACCGCATGACTTTTCTCCAGCGAGTGAAGAATCTGCTCTTTGACACCCAAAACCTTTTCCTCTGTGATTTTGCCTTTGACCAATTCTCAAAACTGGCTTCAGAGTTCCTGCAGCGGGAGGTGACTGTGCTGGATCTCTTACGCAAGGGCTCTGTTTGGCTCCTGAGGTTGGATTTTGTGCTCGACTACCCAAGGCCTTTGATGCCCAACATCATTCCAATTGGAGGAGTAAACTGTGCTCACAAGGAGCTGCCTCAGGTGGGTCACGCTGTTTTTAATCCATGCCATGATTGATTTCTGTGTTCAGGAGGGTGGAATTCTGTGTTGCAGATAGGAATTGAGTTTCTGTTTTGGGTGGGTGAGGTGAATCCTCATGAAAGGAACTGTTTTTCACTGATTTCTGATTTTCCACATCTTGTGTTGGCAGCTGTTCCTTCTGGCTTTAAAGTGGTTCTCAGTTGAAGGGAAACACCAGGGTCTTCTGGTGAAGGTCTGTGATGGGCTGTTGATGCCACCAGCAAAGAGATTGTCAGAATTTGTGGACAGTAAGACAAAGTGTAGTGTTCCTTTAAGGACCAGCTCCAACGGGATGTCCCAGAGACTGTTAAAAACTCTTTCCTGGCTCCAAATGCCAGCTCTGATGCCGGGAGCAGATCTGATTTGACACATTCCGTACAGCTTGACTGGCAGTGAGGGTTTGGGTGTAGCCTTGTGCATGATACCAACTGCTCCAATGTGCTGCATGCTTGGGTTCCCTGCGATGCTGGCAAGAGCCCTGTGAGTGTTCCTCCTGGACAGTTTACTGTTCTTCTCTGGGGGAGATCCTGGAGAGTTGGGAAAATACTTTTGGTACCCTGGCTTTCTCTTCATTCATATTCCATAGGAGTTGTGTGGTGCAGGGCGGGAGCACAAAGCCCAGCATGTGGCAATTCCACCCAGCTTGAAGTACAGAGGTAGCTGTGACAATTTACAGACATCCCCATGTACAATGGGATTTGCCACCTGAGCATTCACAAAACTCCACCACTGCTGGACACCATGGGTGCTTTGTCAGGGATCAAACCAAGGACAGAATTAGGCTCTGAAATGTTCTGTTTAAAGTCGCCCTCAAAGAGTGTTTGTAAATGTCTGCTCAGAAACCTGGCATCATCCTTCCATCTCTTCAGCCTTCTCAGGCTGGAAACCATCTCAAAGAGCTGTTCCACAGCTGCTCTAGGGTGTGGGTCTCCTAGAGATGAGTTTTCCAAGAGAGAGGGAGAAGGGACAGTCCTGGCCTGGAGGGAAGGAGACTCTCTGCTGGTTGGAATAGTAACGTGTATGTCATGCATGTGACACATCTCAGAATTTCCACAGCCAGAGGAAAGGAACCAAAGTGCAGCTCCCTCTGCATTCTTAGGGCACCCTTTACTGTTCCTCTGATAGACATATGGGAGTTATCTGGTGATTCTATGGACTTGGCAGGAATCTCATGCTTGTTCTGCAGGCTTTTATCACACCAGTGATTACACATTTACCACACAGCACATAAAATAAAGATCCACAGTTGGGCTGTGCCACAGATAATTTCACAGTGCAGAGCAAGCACCGGTGTTGCTGCAGGTTCCCTGCCCTGCAGGCTCTCACCTGATCCCTTCAGGAATGGCCCTGCGACTCAGTACTTCTCCACCAGCTGTGCTTCTGCTCCTGTCCCTGCTGGGTCTGGCTGCTGCTGGGAAGCTCCTGGTGGTGCCAATGGACGGGAGCCACTGGCTCAGCATGCGGGAGGTGCTGGACATGCTCCAGCAGAAGGGACACGAGGTGGTCGTGGTGGCACCTGAAGTCTCCATGCACATCAAACCATCCAAGAACTTTGTGATGAAAATGTTCTCAGTCCCCTTCACACAGAAAGAGATGGAGAAAGATTTTTAAGGCGTTCTTTCAGGTTTCATTTGAAGAAGGATCTTTTTTTGAAAGATTTTTAAAAGTGTACAGAGGTATGAAAAGAATCACTGACTTGGAGTTCTCCAGCTGTGAAAAGCTCTTGCAAAACAAAGAGCTCATCAGGTACCTTGAGGAGAGCCAAGTTTGATGCTGTCCTTACAGACCCTTTTGTGCCCTGTGGGGTAATCCTAGCTGAGCATCTTTACCTTCCTTCTATCTATTTCTTACGAGGAATCCCATGTGGGTTAGATTTTGAAGCCACTCAGTGTCCCAAGCCCCCTTCCCCCTTTCTACGTCCCCAGGGTATTTACAGACCTTACAGACCGCATGACTTTTCTCCAGCGGGTGAAAAATCTACTCCTTGACTTCCCAAGCGTTTTCCTCTGTGATTTTGCCTTTGAACCCTACTCAAAACTGGCTTCAGAGTTCCTGCAGCGGGAGGTGACCGTGCAGGATCTCTTACACAAGGGCTCTGTTTGGCTCCTGAGGTTGGAATTTGTGCTAGAGTACCCAAGGCCTTTGATGCCCAACATCATTCCAATTGGAGGAGTAAACTGTGCTCACAAGGAGCTGCCTCAGGTGGGTTGCACTCTGTTTTTAATCCATGCCATGATTGATTTCTGTGTTCAGGTGGGTGGAATTCTGTGTTGTGATAGAAATCAAGTTCCCATTTCTGGTGAGTGAGGTGAATTCTCGGTAAAGGAACTGTTTTTCTCTCACATCTGATTTACCACACTCTATGTAGGCAGCAGTCTCTTCTGGCTTTTGGTAGGACATTGATTGCACCCGCCACAGGATTGTCAAAATTTGTGGATCTTAAGACAAAATGCTGGGTTCCTTTAAGGAACAGCTCCCATTGGCATTCCCAGAAAAGCTTAACAACACTGTTTTGATTGACAAGCCCAGCGCTGTTGCCTGCAGTAGGTCTGATTTAACAGATCCAGCAGGCCTTGACTCGCACTGATGGTTTGGGTGCAGCCTTGGGGATGATGTCAAACTTTGGGTTCCCTGGGATGCTGGCAAGAGCCCTGGGCAGTGTTCCTCCTGGAGAGCCTCCTCTGCTGCTCCAGAGGAGAGCCTATTGACTTGGGTGAGTGCTTTTGGTGCCCTGGCTTTCTCTTCAGTCCTGTTCCTTAGGATTTGTGTGATGTGGGGTGGGATAATGAGGTCCAATATGTGGCAATTCCACCCATCCCCAAGTGTGGGGGTGGCTGTGACATCTGACAGACATCCCTGTACACACTGGGATTGGCCACGTGAGCTTTCACACAACTCCACCACTGCTGGACACCGTGGGTGCTTTGTCAGTGACTAAAGCAATGCTAAAATTAGGCCCTGAATTGTTCTGTGAAAAGTCTCCCTCAAAAGTGCTCGTAAATCCCTGCTTAGAATGTGGCATCATTATTCCATGTTCTCTGTCCTCTCAGTCTGGAAACTGTCTTAAAAGAGCTGTTCCACAGCTGCCATGGGGTCTGGGTCTCCTAGAGATGACATGGAAAGGGTGAGAGAGGGGCAACAGGCCTTGAGTGGGGGAAAGGAGAAGCCTCTGCAGGTCTGAATGGTGATGCGCATGTGACACATCTCCTACATGTGACACATCTCCTGAATATGCAGAAGGTCCAGCCAGAGGGAAAGGATCAAAGTGCATTGCCAGAGCCACACCTGCCTCCTTCTTGGAGCACTCTTTTACTATTGCTCAGACCGGGAGAAGGTGGAGTTACCTGCAGATTGTATGGGCTTGGCAGGAATCCCGTGCTTGTTCTGCAACCTTTTATTGTGTCAGAGATTACACATTCATTGCCCAACCCATAAAATAAGGAACCACAGTTGGGCTGTGACACAGATCACTTAAAAGTGCAGAGCGAGCGCCGGAGCTCCTGTGCTGCCGTGGGTTTCCTTCCCTGGAGGCTCTCAGCTGATCCCTGCAGGAATGGCCCTGGGGCTCAGTGCTTCTCCACCAGCTGTGCTTCTGCTCCTGTCCCTGCTGGGTCTGGCTGCTGCTGGGAAGCTCCTGGTGGTGCCGATGGACGGGAGCCACTGGCTCAGCATGCGGGAGGTGCTGAACATGCTCCAGCAGAAGGGACACGAGGTGGTCGTGGTGGCACCTGAAGTGAGTTTGCACATCAAACCATCAGAGAACTTTGTGATGAAAATGTACTCGGTGCCCTTCACACAGGAAGAGTTGGAGAAAGCATTCAAGGCATTTTTTCATGGTTTATTTGAAGAGGGTTGGATTTTACAGAGATTAATGAAAGTGTATGAGGGTATGAAAACCCTCACTGACTGTTGGATCACCAGCTGTGAGCAGCTTCTGCAAAACAAGGAACTCATCAGGTATCTTGAGGAGAGCAAGTTTGATGCCATCCTTACAGACCCGGTAGCAGCTTGTGGGTTGATCCTGGCTGAACATCTTTCCCTTCCTTCTGTGTATTTCTTACGAGGAGTCCCATGTGGGTTAGACCTAGATGCCAGGCTGTGTCCCAGTCCTCCTTCCTACATCCCCAGGTCATTTTCAGACCTTACAGACCGCATGACTTTTCTCCAGCGAGTGAAGAATCTGCTCTTTGACATCCCAAACATTTTCCTCTGTGATTTTGGCTTTGAACCCTACTCAAAACTGGCTTCAGAGTTCCTGCAGCGGGAGGTGACTGCACAGGATCTCTTTCGCAAGGGCTCTGTTTGGCTCCTGAGGTTGGAATTTGTGCTAGAGTACCCAAGGCCTTTGATGCCCAACATCATTCCAATTGGAGGAGTAAACTGTGCTCACAAGGAGCTGCCTCAGGTGGGTCTTAATCCATGCTGCGATGGATTTCTGTGTTCGGGAGGGTGGAATTCTGTGTTGTGATAGAAATCAAGTTCCCATTTCTGCTGAGTGAGGTGAATTCTCAGTAAAGGAACTGTTTTTCTCTCATTTCTTTCTGACTTTCCACATCTTGTGTAGGCAGCTGTTTCTTCTGGCTTTTAATTGGTGCTCAGCTGTAGGTAAACACCAGGGTCTTCTCGTGACCCTGTACTAAGGATCTGTGATGGGACGTTGATTCTGCCAGCTAAAGAGATTCTGAGAATTTGTGGATAGTAGAACAATGTTTTGTATTTTTACAATGGGCAGTTCCAATGGGATCTTCCAGAGAAACTTAAAAACATTTTTCTGGCTCCAAAGCCCAGCTCTGATGCCTGGAGCAGGTGTGCTTGGACACATACAGCAGGCCTTGACAGGCACTCAGGGATGAGCTGCAGTCTTGCCCATGGTACCAGCCAGTCAACTATGCCATGTGCTTGGGTTCCCTGGCATGCTGGCAAGAGCCCTGGGCAGTGTTCCTCCTGGAGAGCCTCCTCTGCTGGTCCGGGGGAGAGCCTGGTGACTTGGGTGAGTGCTTTTGGTGCCCTGGCTTTCTCTTCAGTCCTGTTCCTTAGGATTTGTGTGGTGTAGGGTGGGATCCCAAAGCTGCAGTGGCAATTTCACCCATCCCAGCGTGTGGAGGTGTCTGTGACATCTGACAGACATCCCTGCACACTGGGGCTGGCCATGTGAGCATTCACACAACTCCACAACTGCTGGACACCATGTCCACTTTGTCAGTGACAAAAAGGAAGCCAGAATTAGGCCCTGAATTGTTCTGTGAAAACACCCCCTCAAAAGTGCTCATAAATCTCTGCTCAAACCTCCTAGCTCACAAAGCCAACCCCTGCAATTCCTTGAGGCAGGTCTGAGGCACTTGAAGTGCTGCTTGATGTAGATCACATATCCTGCAGAAAGCTGGCATTGTCCTCTCCATCTTCTCTGTCTCCTCAGTCTAGAAACCATCTTAAAGAGCTGTTCCACAGCTGCTGTGGGGTCTGGGTCTCCTAGAGATGGGTTTACCAAGAGAGAGGGAGAGGGGACAGACCGTGTCTGGGAGAAAGGAGAAGCCTCTGAAGGTCTGAGCGGTGGTGTGCATGTGACACGTCTACACGTGTCATATCTCAACATGCAGAAGGTCCAGCCAGAGGGAAAGGACCAAAGTGCAGTCCCAGAGCCACACCTGCCTCCTTCCTGGGACGCTCTTTACTGTTCCTCTGATAGAGATAGTTGGGAATTATCTGGTCATTCTATGGACTTGGCAGGAGTTCCATGCTTGTTCTGCAGCCTTTTATCATATCAGGGATTACACATTCACTGCCCAACACATAAAATAAGGATCCAAAGTTGGGCTGTGACACAGTTAGCTTGAAAGCGCGGAGCCGGCACCGGAGATCCTGTGCTACCACTGGTTTACTTCCCTGGAGGCCTTCACCTGATCCCTGCAGGAATGGCCCTGGGGCTCAGTGCTTCTCCACCAGCTGTGCTTCTGCTCCTGTCCCTGCTGGGTCTGGCTGCTGCTGGGAAGCTCCTGGTGGTATCGGTGGACGGGAGCCCCTGGTTCAGCATCCGGGAGGGGCTGGACATGCTCCAGCAGAAGGGACACGAGGTGGTCGTGGTGGCACCTGAAGTCTCCTTGCACGTCAAACCATCAGAGAACTTTGTGATGAAAATGTACCCAGTCACCTACACACAGGAAGATATGGACAATGCATTCAAGGCATATTTTAATATTACATTTCAAGATGGATCTTTTTTTGAAAGATTTTTTAAAACAGTAGAAGCTTCGAAAAGATTCACTGATTTCTTTGTCTCCAGCTGTGAACAGCTCTTGCAAAACAAGGAGCTCATCAGGTACCTTGAGGAGAGCAAGTTTGATGCCATCCTTACAGACCCTTTTGTGCCCTGTGGAGTGATCCTGGCTGAGCATCTTTCCCTTCCTTCTATCTACTTCTTACGAGGAATCCCATGTGGGTTAGATTTTGAAGCCACTCAGTGTCCCAATCCTCCTTCCTATGTGCCCAGATCATTTTCAGACCTGACAGACCGCATGACCTTTTTCCAGCGAGTGAAGAATCTGCTCTTTGACACCCAAAACCTTTTCCTCTGTGATTTTCTCTTTGACCCATTCTCAAAACTGGCTTCAGAGTTCCTGCAGCGGGAGGTGACTGTGCAGGATCTCTTTCGCAAGGGCTCTGTTTGGCTCCTGAGGTTGGAATTTGTGCTAGACTATCCAAGGCCCTTGATGCCCAACATCATTCCAATTGGAGGAGCAAACTGTGCTCACAAGGAGCTGCCTCAGGTGGGTCACACTTTGTTCTTAATTTGTGCTGTGATGTAATTTCTGTATTCAGGAGGCTTGAACCTTGTGTTGCAGGTGGGAATTGCCTTCCCATGATGTGTGGTTGGATGAATGCTCCTGAGTTTTTATAGGAAGCAGTCCTGTACCTTCTCACCTCTAAAGTGTGCTCTGCATTTGCTGCTTTTGTTTCACATATTCAGAGCTACGTTGTGTGACTTTGTGTAACTTGGTACTCTCTAAGCGAGTGACGAATGAGTCTTTTGGGCTGTCAGAGCCTTGCAGACAGGTGCAATTCCTAATTCACAAATTATAGATGGGTCGGGTGTTTACTGAGAATACACCTCCGGCTTCTGTCCTTGTTGTCTCACTACATCTTTCTTTGCCATTGAATCCTTTGTGCTTTTTCACCTGGGTATTTCCAAAGCTGGAATCCGGAGGAAGGTGGCAGGCTGGGGGCTCTCAGGTTGAGAACCTGTCCATCTATTTGCAGGCAGATCTAGGAAAATTTTGCCATGATCATGATGGCTGTGTGAGACATAACAGCAAATTTCAGATGTTTCAAGGGGCTACAATGGTTTGGCAGGTGGCGTTCAAAGTGACAGAAGTGCTAAAGGTTTTGTTATAAAACACAAGGCTTATCTGGTACATGCCCCACATTTATCAGCTGCCTGAACTTTGCTGCTGGTTAGGCATGCTTTTGTCACACCTGTGATTACACATTTACCACAGAGCAGATAAAGCAAGGATACACAGTTGGGCTGTGGCAGAGATTGCTGAGAAGCGCGGAGCGAGCGCCGGAGCTCCTGTGCTGCCGCGGGTTTCC